ATCACACTTAGATGACACAATCAGTTAATACCAATTATAGTTTCTTTACAAAGTTATACTTTCAGTTAATACTTTCTTTACAAAGCAGGAATGAACCTATTTTGTTACCAAGGGTATCCTTGGTACCTCAGAGTCTGATACAAAATTGATGCTTAATAAATAAATGAAGGCAATGAATTCCACAAAATGATCTCTGACTACTGATTACATTACGGTTATTGGTGCTCAAGCCTTGGCAAACAGGGAGTTCCCTGAGGGCAGGGACCATGTGTGATTCACCTTCCCTAGTGCCTAGCATGGTGCCTGTCACCTGGCAGGCCCTCAGTACATGCACAGACCCTCAGAAGGGTGTTAGGAAAGTCCCCAGTAGTCCTCAGCCCAGGCTGTGGGACCCTGTGACACTTTAGCAGTTCCTCCAGGCTTCCTGTGTGAAGGCTGGAGAGCCTGCACTCCACCTTCTGTGTTCTTACCTCAGGTCCTGCCTTCTGATGTCCATAATGATGAATGTGCACTTATTAGGCTCCAGCTGTTTTCTATGTTCCCTGTCTTAGCCCAACACATGCCCTCTAAGCCAGGTACAAATCTAGCCCATATTCTGGGAAAAGGCCCTTCCCCAGAGCTACAAAACACAAATGCCTTAGATAACTGGAAAGAGAAAACAGAAAATTCACTCATATTCCCACCCTGCAACCTTTAGTATTTTGTTATTCCTTCCAGATTCCATGTGTGTGTTTCATTACAAATAGAATCATGACATGTAGACCTTTTAAGGTTCTCTTCCTTCCAACTAATTCAGTGAAGCACAGTCTAATGGTTAAGAGCACAAGGCCTAGAACCTGATTCCCTTCAAATTTTCACTCTGTTATATGATCTTGGATAACTCAGCAAACTACTCTGTACTTCATTTTCCCAGGCTGTAAAATGAGGATGATAATAGTTAGGATTAAATAAATAAACATCTTTACAGTTAGACATGTGAAGCACTTAGAACAATATCTGACATAAGTTAAAAACTTAATAGCATTTTCTATGTTGCCACATCATCTTCAAAATGATCATTTTTAATGGATGCAATATATGTCCACACTAGCTAATTTAATTAACTCTTACTCCTTTGTTAGATGTTTAACTTATTTCCAGTCATTCCATATTATAAATAACACAGTCATAAATATCCTAGGACATGCGTTGTGGATTTTTCCATACATAGCTTCCTAGAAGTAGAAGTAGAAGGTTAAAGGGCACAAACATTTTATGCCTTTGGTCTATACTGGGAAATAATTTTCCAAAAAAGGTCATAGCATTTTAAAATACAATTTATGCTGGAACTTTTTACTTTTCACTACTCCCTCACCAACCTTGGATGACATCAAATTCTTTGATTTGTGCAACTTTAACAGCCCATAAGTAGTCCCACTATAACTTCCGTTTCTTTGACTATCATGGAAGCTAACAGTGTCCATGTGATTACTTTATTGTGAACTGTCAGTCAGGGTCTACACCAGTTGCTTTAACAGAGAAGACTTAGTACAAAGTATTGCTTATTATGTATTTTAAAAATGAAAAGCCCTAAGGACCTGCTCCCAGCCCTGAGGCTAGGGAACATAGAGAAGACCAGGCAGCAGTCCACTAGTGTTGGTGTCTCTGAGGGGTGCGCTACAAGGCTAGTTCTGCAAGTGATGGACAAACTGCAAACTGAATTGAACTGCTGCTTCTAGAATATTCTGTTGCTGTAGAATTGGAAAACCTAGGCTGTGGGGTTTCCAGATTTAGCAAGATGAAAATGCAGCATGCCTACTTAAATTTGAATTTCAGGTAAATAATGAATAACTTTTTAGAATATTTATAATAATATTGCATGGGACGTACACTAAATAAGAAGTTATTTGTTGTTTATCAAAAATTCAAAGTTAAGTGTCCTACATTTTATCCGTCAATCTTACAAGGCAGGGATGATGCTGGAAAAAGCGTTCTGTCCCCCTCACCTAGCCCTTCCCTCACCCTCTGGTGACAGTTATTGGCAGAGCCCAGCATAGAGCCAGTTGGCAAAGCTGGGAAGTGGTTTGCAGACAAAGCCAAGTGAAGGGTGGGTTTGAAACTGAGAAACAATTACCCGATAATTGGCACACTCCATCCTTTCAACTGTTCAGCATCCATACACACGGTTCTATACACTGGTACTTCCAGACAACAACAAAAACAACTCTAACAAAATACCTAATAAAATACATCTTTCCAACAAATGAAGACATTCTCACCTTCTCCCCAAAATGGGGAGGGGCAAAGTCTCTACAGTCATTTTATTCATCTCTGGAAAATAGTCGCACTACCCATCTCTGGGCAAGATTAACTACTCTTTAAACTCAGTCACAGTCACATTTGAAAATTCTGTCACCTAAAGACTAAACTAAACTCCAACAATACTTATATAAAAAATAAGAGGAAGGAGAGGGAGAATAAATTAGCTAATATATACCATTACGTAAATCACATAATCATCAAGGAAGAAATTATGCATAGCTGCTATATTCCTTGTTTCTGTAATCAGTCATGAGGCCATGGCTGATACTTATACATTTCTTCCTCAACCTCCCATTCCATGTTTTCTTGTCCTCAGAGAGGACCTCGGTTGGCCAGGGTTCTTTAGTGGGATGATCCAAACCTTTCTCTCTGAAGGATGTGAATCCTCAGTGGTCCTGCCTCTCTTTTCTTGCAGCAGTATTCACTAACATCTCCTATTGAGCATGCAAGTACTAAGAGGATCCCCTGGGTTCAGATCTAATCCCACCTGTCCTCCATTGCCCCTCAGTCATCAAATAGCCTGATGACAGCCAGTAAAGTAACCTGTCTTTCTTTGTCCACTGGTTTCATGGCAAAAAAAGAGAACCAAACGGCCAGGTGGCAGTCTCAACTCTCCATTTGGTAGAACCATGTTGTGAACTCTTATGGAAGCGTTTGTCTCTTGGGAACCAACACCTCCAATCCAGAGAGCACAGAACTGAAGGGACAGAAAGCAAAATTTCTGCTAGTAACTTAATAGGTGAAATGGTGAAAGGAACCACTTCCACTTCAACCCCTTGATTTCCAGACCCAAGTATTCTGGCTATGGGAGAAAGAGCACAATGTATTGTTTGCTAAGTCAAATCCTATACTGCATCCTGTAAGATAGAACTTCACCAGCTTCATAGAGTGTTACCAACTGAGTCTTAGGTAAGTCTTCGGTAGCCCATTCTACTGATCTATTAGGCCCCCTGCTCCTGGGTGGCAGAGTACATATTAAGACCACTGAATTCCGGGGGCATAAGCCCAGTGCTTCACTTCTAGTACTGTAAAATGAATTCCTTGATTAGAGCCTTATTGTCTGAAATATACCAGGATGATGACTAGGACATCCACAGATTCCAAACATCCACAGATTATGGCACTGGCCAAGTATTATATACAGGGGAAGAAAATCTATATCCAGAATATTTGTTTATTCCAGGGAGGATAAATCTCTTTCCTGTCTATAATGGAAAGAGTCCAATGTAATCCTGCTGCCAGGTAGACAGTCCTCCCAGGGAATGGTGCCATACCAGGAGCTCCATATTAGTCTCTGCCATTGACAGGTTAGTCATTTAACAGTAGGAATAGTAGGTCAGCCTTCGTGAGAGGAAGTCCATGCATAGCTTCCATCCTTGCCACCATGGCTACTTTGTACATAAACTCATGGAGTAAATCCTAGGTGGCTGGAGAAGGACACTAAGATACACAGGACATGCCATTTTGTCCACCTGATTGAGGGAACCTATTTCATTATGCCCTTTGGTGAACTTTCCTATGTGGCACAAATATGTTTGCACTCTATACCTATCCCAAGAGGTCCATCCACACACCCCTTCCCCAGACTTCCTCATCATCAGTCTTACTATTTATTCTATTCTAAGTCCCTGACCATCAACCAAACCATTAGCAACTGCCCATGAATCAATGTAGACCTAGCCATCTCTTAGACCAAAATGGACAACCAAATTTACAACTTGAAGTCCTATCCATTAGGAATATTTTTCTTGCTATCACTCTTTAGGGCTATCTTTTACTGGAGCTGTGTAGCTGCAACCAGAAACTTCTCACTGATGCCAGTATATCATTAAGAATAATCAGTAAACCAAGGGGCGCCTGGGTGGCTCAGTCATTAAGCGTCTGCCTTCAGCTCAGGTCATGATCCCAGGGTTCTGGGATCAAGCCCCACATCGGGCTCCCTGCTCTTCGGGAAGCCTGCTTCTCCCTCTCCCACTCCCCCTGCTTGTGTTCCCTCTCTCACTGTGTCTCTCTCTGTCAAATAAATGAATAAAAGCTTTAAAAAAAAAAAAAAAAGAAGAATCAGTAAACCAAGCCCAAGCTTCTTTCTCCTTAGTCATAAGGAATCCCTAGTGAGTCCCTAGGTGTGCACTGAAGGAGAAGAAATCATGCAGCAGAAGAAGGTGTCAAATGAGTCTGAGCCACCTGCTTATGCAACTTACTTGTACCTTCCAGACGGGCTCAAGCCACTGATGATGGTATGCTACTGGGCACACCAACCTTATGACTTGGTGGATAAGACAGGCAGCTCAGATCACATGGTCACTTAATGTCTCATGGCTAGTTTGTGGTCTCACTTTTAATTTGCTTTTAATCCATTTATCCCTTATTCTGTGAGGCTCACACTTCTTTTCAGCTTCTATTATATTTGTCCTTGTCATTTCATTTATGAATGATGGTGGTAGCAGCGCCTGACTATCTGATCCTCTCTCCCAGGGTCCAGTCACAATCCAGGAGCTGTTTCTCAAAAGAACAGTTATCTATAAACAGGGCATATACTTGCTCCAAAACCTGCATGCCTACAGACTTGACCTCTGTAAGGGCTAGGGAGAGTTGCTTGTTCTGCCGCACATTCTAGGTGTGGGGAACTCTGCCAAGAGTCTTCCCTTAGGGATGGGGAGCCAGTGGCCAGAGATTGATCTCAGTGCACTCTGTTGCAGGCACAGCCTCTGTCGCTGTGGCAGGGATCCTGGCTGCTCTGCGAATCACCAAGAACAAGCTCTCCAACCACGTGTTTGTTTTCCAAGGTGCGGGTGAGGTAGGTGCCATCAGGAGAACAAGGATGGGTGGAGAAGCATGAAGGAAGGGAGGTGTTCAGGGGTTCAGAGAAGAGGAAGCAGCACAGGTATATTGTGATAATTGCAGCTGTCTAGGCACCAACATTTGGGTGTCTCAAGGACTCCTGGGCCTCCTAGGAGAAGGGGGAAAGGTGCAGAGAAGAGAGGATCTTGGTAAAGCTTCTGATAAATGCTGAGCAGCTGTTTGCCTTGTATCTGAACATCCATCATTATGGTACCTCCCAGGCAGCCATGGGCATCGCCCACCTCCTTGTCATGGCCCTAGAGAAAGAAGGTGTACCCAAGGCAGAGGCCACAAAGAAGATCTGGATGGTGGACTCCAAGGGGCTCATTGTCAAGGTACTGTCAGTCTGGTGACCTAGAGGTTTCCTGACACCTACAGCTATTGGAACTGGACTATAAGACGTCTCCATGGGAGAAAGTGCTCAGACAAAAAATGGAGCAACGGGGGGTAATGTTCTAACCTCCAAAGCAGAAGACACATCCCAATGTAGCCTTAACTGCTCTGTCCAAAAGCTTTGAATATGTGGGCAGGTGTGTGTATGCATGCCCCTTCCAGCTTTATCTCCCACCACTTCCTGCCTTGTAGTAACCTCCAGCCACAGTAAATCATAGTTTTCCAAATGTAACATGCTCTTCTTGTCGACATCCTTGCATATTTTGTTCTTCTGCCTGAAATGCCCTTCTCTTTTGCCACACACCCACTCTCAACCCTCAACTCCATCTGCTTCCTCCTTGTCTTCTGTTAACTCCTCCAAGATGCTTTCTCTGAGCATCTAGGTCTCAGTCCATTCCCTACATTTATGCTCATGTAGCTGTCCCCCTCCATACATTGTACTTGCCTCACTGTAGGACAGTTGCCCTTTTAATTGTCTCTCTCCCCATTAGGCTTTATAGTCTTCATATCAATGCCTGGCATGTAATGAGTGTGTAATGTTTGAGGTGTGAGTGCAAGAATGAATGAGAAACAGTCTAGCTTCTGACTGGACTATGGTGAGGGGCACATTTAGATGGCCTCCACCCTTAGGACTTCACTGAGAGCTCCAAGTTTTAATGCCCAAAATCCCACTAACAGAGAATGTCAGTGAGAGACTTTTTAAAAAGATGACAGAGATAGGAATGGGGGAAGTACATGGGGCTCTCGACCAAGACTAGAAGAAATAGAAACTGACCTTGTTATCTCATAGAGAGCCAGATCCTCCTCCCACCCCAGGTCATTCCAGAGCATAATGCAGCACAGGTAAAAGCCACCAGAGGCTGCCAAGTGGCAAGCCACTCTTGCCACCTTTCAACATTTTGCTTATCCCAGTAAGCTTACCCCTACTCAAGTCTCTCTCCAAGCTGATGTCTTCACTCTGATTCTCATAAGGCCAGCTGACCCAAAGGAATCATCAGAACATCTGTACCATTTACCAGCCTGTCAAACTCTGACTCCTATTTGAAGAAATGGAAGGATCCTGAGCTTGTGGGAACAGCCAGCCATTGCAAGCCTGTCCTGGGGCTTAGCTTATTATTGTTCACAGGGAGGTCAATGGCTCTTGTAAAATACATTCAAATTAGCTTTCTGACCCTGATGGCTCAGGCCCCCTTCCCTCAACTGGCCCTGAGTGCTGGATGCCTTGGGGCCAATGGTCTTGGTCAGACTCAGGTATTTCATGAGAGCCTTTCTGTCCTGGCCCAGGAAGCCATGTCCCTAAAAGTGCAAAGAAAGGCTTTAGGGATTCTCCATGTTTGGTCTGGGCTAAAGAAACCCCACACACCTCCACACTGTGACAAAACACACATTAAAATCCTTAGGTTCCATCTTAGGTTTTACCAGGAGATCTGATCAAGAGGATGAGCGACAAGGCTTCTGACAGCTCAGACCGAAGCACAGGGCTCTCCGGGAAATGCTTTCGGGATCTCCAGAGGCATCCATGTCCAGCCAAGCAATTTTTACTGCCAGGCATCATGTTTTCCTTTCCCTGCAGGGAAGGAACCACCTGAACCATGAGAAGGAGATGTTTGCCCAGGACCATCCTGAAGTGAACAGCCTGGAGGAGGTGGTGAGGCTGGTGAAGCCCACGGCCATCATAGGTAGGAGGCAGGAGTCCCACTGTCCAGCCCAGCTAACCGTCTTGACTTGCAGGTGGAAACTAAGGCTCAGCCAGCAGGCATAAGTAATTGATGGAAGTACCACTGTCTCACCAATCCCATGTCCACCTCAGTGCCACAGTCTTTCACTGAGTGACTACTATATAAAAACCATAGAACTAAGGCACCAAGTTGGGACTTAGTGATGCAGAATTATACAGTGCAGTGGAAAAGCACAGGGCTGGTCTCTCTGAGAGGAAGTGAGCACTGCTCTCCCAAAGAGGGGAACCTGGCATCTCTCCCTATATTGGGAGAGGCACACACTCTAAAGGACTTTGCCCAGGAATGCCTTCACAGGACATCTTATCCGGGCAGGGACCTGAAGGGACCAGTGTTCCCTCAGGGATTAAGAGGAGGTCTTACCCAGCTCAAGCAAGAAGACCCTTTTCTCTTCAGCTCCCTCTATCCATCCCTATGGCGGATGCTATCTCCAAGATTCCTGAGTCTTCCATGTTGTACCAAGTCCCCCCCATGACCATCACCAGGAGAGGAATGGGGTGTTTATAAAGAGTAGGCATCCCTACAACCCCCCTTTTCCCTGTAGGTGTTGCTGCCATCGCAGGAGCCTTCACGGAGCAGATTCTGAGGGACATGGCCTCCTTCCACGAGCGCCCTATCATCTTTGCCCTGAGCAACCCCACCAGCAAGGCTGAGTGTACGGCTGAGAAGTGCTACCGGGTCACTGAGGTCAGCGGGGAGTCCTTCCTTCCCCAGGCTGAGAGGACATAGTAACATTATGAGTAACCCTATGAGGGTGAAGAAAAATCCCCCCATCCCTGATGAGAAAACTGAGGTTCAGAAAGATGAAATAACTTGCCCGAGGTCACAGAGCTAATAAGGAGTGGAGCTGGCCCTCAAACCCAGGTCTCGCTCCAAAGCCCAAGCTCTCACGCTCATGTTATACTGCTCAAGGTTCCTCTAGTAACATAGAGCTTTGACCAGAACCCAAGGCATTCATAAACTCTAGGTTACCTGCATTCCTGTCGTGTCCTGGGTTAGCCCTCTCGGGAGGTGACAGATTAAAAACCTTCACCTTTCAGTGATTTCTTGGCTGCCAGGTAACTCAGTGGGAGCTAAACTTTCTGGTCAAATGAACAAGTGTGCTTTCAGCACCTGCAGTGTGCTCAGCACAATGCCGAGCGTGTGGGAGAGGATGAAGAAGGGTTCGACATTTGGGAGATAAAACTAGGCCCACCATTACTGCCTGAAACCCATCTCCAGGCTCCATCTCTGCTTTTCTTCCTGCCTCCAGGGCCGAGGGATCTTTGCCAGTGGAAGTCCTTTTAAGAGTGTGACTCTGGAAGCTGGCAAGACCTTCATTCCTGGGCAAGGAAACAATGCCTACGTGTTCCCTGGAGTGGCTCTGGGAGTCATTGCTGGCGGGGTCCGGCACATCCCAGATGAGATCTTCCTACTGACAGCAGAGGTATCGCTGTCCCTGCTCCCTTGCATGCATGCTCCCAGTCGGGCCTGTCTTCTACACCGGGTCCTACACTGGGCCCCCAAATATTCCTTCTCTCCTCTCTTCTACTTACCTGCCCCTTAAGCCAGCAGTAGATCCTCAATGCTTGAACCTCAAGCTTCTCTCAAGATCACCTTGAGGCTTAAAGTTCTCTCAGAACACACACATTTTTTTTAAATTGTTATGTTTGTCATCATACGCCATCATTAGTTTTTGATGTAGTGATCCATGATTCATTTTTTGCGTATAACACCCAGTGCTGCATGCAGTATGTGCCCACCTTAATAGCCATCACTGGGCTAAACCATGCCCTCATCCCCCTCCCCTCTGAAACCCTCAGTTTGTTTCCCAGAGTCCATAGTCTCTCATGGTTCGTATCTCCCTCTGATTTCCCCCTCTTCATTTTTCCCTTCCTTCTCCTAATTTCCTCCATGCTATTCCTTATGTTCCACAAGTAAGTGAAACCATATGATAATTGACTTTCTCTGCTTGAACTATTGCACTTAGCACAATCTCCTCCACTTCCATCCATGTTGATGCAAATGTTGGGTATTCATCCTTTCTAATGGCTGAGTAATATTCCATTGTATATATGGGCCACATCTTCTTTATCCATTCATCTGTTGAAGGGCATCTCGGCTCTTTCCACAGTTTGGCTATTGCGGACATTGCGGCTATGAACATTGGGGTGCATATGGCCCTTCTTTTCACTACATCTGTATCTTCGGGGTAAATACCCAGGAGTGCAATTCCTGGGTCATAGGGTATCTCTATTTTTAACTTTTTGAGGAACCTCCACACTGTTTTCCAAAGTGGCTGTACCAACTTGCATCCCCACCAACAGTGTAAGAGGGTTCCCCTTTCCTCACAATCTCTCCAACATTTGTTGTTTCTTGCCTTGTCAATTTTTGCCATTCTAACTGGTGTAAGGTGGTATCTCAATGTGTTTTTGATTTGAATTTCCCTGATGGCTAATGATGATGAACATTTTTTCATGTGTCTGTTAGCCATTTGTATGTCTTCTTTGGAGAAGTGTCTGTTCATGTCTTTCTGCCCATTTTATGACTTGATTATTTGTTTTTTGAGAAGTTCTTTATATATCCTGGATATCAGCCCTTTGTAGTGTCATTTGCAAATATCTTCTCCCATTCTGTGGGTTGCGTCTTTGTTTTGTTGACTGTTTCTTTGCTGTGCAGAAAGCTTTATATCTTGATGAAATCCCATGCTTTTGTTTCCTTTGCCTTTGGAGACTTGTCTTGAAAGAAGTTGCTGTGGCTGATGTTGAAGAGGTTACTGCCTATGTTCTCCTCTAGGATTTTGATGGATTCCTGTCTCACATTGAGGTCTTTCATCCATTTTGAGTTTATCTTTGTGTATGGCGTAAGAGAATGGTCAAGTTTCATTCTTCTGTATATAGCTGTCCAATTTTCCCAGCACCATTTATTGAAGAGACTATCTTTTTTCCATTGGATATTTTTTCCTGATTTGTTGAAGGTTAGTTGACCATAGAGTTGAAGGTCCATATCTGGGCTCTCTATTCTGTTCCATTGGTCTATATGTCTGTTTTTGTGCCAGTACCATACTGTCTTGGTGATCACTGCCTTGTAATATAGCTTGAAATCAGGCAACATGATGCCCCCAGCTTTGTTGTTCTTTTTCAACATTTCCTTGGTGGTTCGGGGTCTTTTCTGACTCCATACAGATTTTAGGATTGTTTGTTCCAGCACTTTGAAAAATGTCATTGGAATTTTGATCGGGATGGCGTTGAAAGTACAGATTGCTCTGGGCAGCACAGACATTTTAACAATGTTTATTCTTCTGATCCATGAGCATGGAATGTTTTTCCATCTTTTTGTGTCTTCTTCAATTTCTTTCATGAGTATTCTGTTGTTCCTAGAGTATAGATCCTTTACCTCTTTGGTTAGGTTTATTCCGAGGTATCTTATGGTTTTTGGTGCTATTATAAATGGAATCGTTTCTCTAATTTCTCTTTCTACAGCTGCATTGTTAGTGTATAAGAAAGCAACTGATTTCTGTGCATTGATCTTCTATCCTGCCACATTACTAAATTGCTGTTATGAGTTCTAGTAGTTTGGGGGTGGAGTCTTTTGGGTTTTCCACATAAAGTATCATGTCATCTGCAAAGAGAGAGAGTTTGACATCTTCTTTGCCAGTTTGAATACCTTTTATTTCTTTCTGTTTTCTGATTGCTGTTGCTAGGACTTCTAGTACTATGTTGAACAATAGTGGTGAGAGTGGGCATCCTTGACAAGTTCCTGATCTTAAGGGAAAGGCTCTCAGCTTTTCCCCATTGAGGCTGATATTCGCTGTGGGTTTTTCATAGATGGGTTTTATGAACTTGAGGAATGTTCCCTCTATCCCTATATTCTGAAGAATTGTAATTAGGAAAGGATGCTGTGTTTTGTCAAATGCTTTTTCTGCATCAATTGAGAGGACCATATGGTTCTTCTCTCTCCTCTTATTAATATGTTCTATAACATTGATTGATTTGCGAATGTTGAACCACCCTTGCATCCCAGGGATAAATCCCACTTGGTCGTGGTGGATGATCCTTTTAATGTATTGTTGGATCCTATTAGCTAGGATTTTGTTGAGAATTTTGGAATCCATATTCATCAGGGATATCGGTCTGAAATTCTCCATTTTGATGGGGTCTTTGCCTGGTTTGGGGATTAAGGTAATGCTGGCCTCATAGAATGAGTCTGGTAGCTTTCCTTCTGTTTCTATTTTTTTAAACAGCTACAGGAGAATAGGTATTATTTCTTCTTTGAATGTTTGGTAGCATTCCCCAGGGAATCCATCAGGCCCTGGACTCTTGTTTTTTGGGAGGTGTTTAATCACTGCTTCAATCTCGTTACTGGTTATTGGTCTATTTAGGTTGTCAATTTCTTCCTGTTTCAGTCTTCTATGAGTCCCACAAGGAACTATCTCATGTTCTAGGTTCCTTCTTACTTCTTGGTCTTTGAGCACTGGCTCCACAAGAATATGCAAGTAGTGTCTCCTAAAGGTTTGTCAGCCTCCCCCAAGGACATGTGCATGCTGGCTATGGCTTTGTGCCATGGGCCTCTGTCCATCTTGTGTGACTCTTCTGTGTATTTCTTCTTATTGCTCTCTCAGTGGTGGTGGTGTCCCGTGGCTATGGGTGAAGCTGTTTGTTTGAATCACCCCCCCCCATTGGATGGGAAGAGTCATTTCCTACTTGAAATTAGCCTGAAAGCAAACTCCCCTGTTGCACAGAAAGATGGTTGCTAGAGCCTTCCTCTGTAACCCCAAGAGGCATCTACACCCCCACCTCCTAATGCCTGGGATAGGTCAGCTCCATCACTTCATGAAGTGTCCATCAGCTACACAGGAACCTCTCCTCAATCCACCTATTAATCTCTTGCTGCAATTGGGACAAGATCCCTCCCTTCTAGAAGCTGACAGTCTGGTCTTTAAAGGGCTGGCAAGTTATATTTCTGAAAAGGGTACTTTTAAGTTAAGACAATTTAAGTTGAATCTGATTTTCCTATGGAAAAAACTACTATAACTTTTAGGAGATTTATATATCTCATTCCACCTTGACAACTCTGTAAAACAGATATAGTGATTATTCCTATGTGATACACAAGGAAAATGAGGCACAGAGAGTCTAAGTTACATGCCCAAGGTCACTGGGTTTGTGAGCAATAGCACCAGGATGGCCCCTGATGATTTACTCCAAGCTGCAGCAGAGCATTACCAGGGCCCGACATCTGAGAAGTGACCACCATACATGATACATCTCTTCATTCTGCAGGATAACTCTTCCAGATGCAGATCTAGCCATGGAAATCCTGTTTCCCTCTGATCCCATCTTCTATACCCCCCCCAAAAAAATCCTTGAAAACCCAGAACAGTCCATGTCTCTGCTCATTTCAGACATTTGAATGGTTCCTCAGTGCTTACAGGATAAAGCCCTAACTCCTTCACATGGTTTCCATATAAGGCATGTCATCACCAGGCCCTCCTTTCCTCTCCAGCCTTTAGCCTCCCCCTCCCATCAACCTAGCCAATGTTCTTTTTACAGTCTAGAACTCATGCTCCCTCCTGCTGTCTCTCTCCAAGAAATCGCATGTGATGTTGCCTCTCCCTTTTCGAGTATTTACTTTGTCCTTCAGGTCTTAGCTGCTGTCGCATCTCCTGGGAAGATTTCCCGTACATGGCAGACCAGGCCCTGCCTTCTTCTATGCCTCTGTGCCCCCTCTGCTTGCACTCACTTCTATGTTGTAATTGTTGTACCTGTTTGTTAATTGTCCACTGACTCCAGACTACAGGAGGAAAAAGGCTTCTCTGCCAGGGATCCTCAGCAACTAGCACAGAGCCTGGCATATCATAGAGCTCAGTTAATGTTGGAATGAATAGATGGAAAGGAGAAATAGGAGCATGAAAATGAAGCGGAAGAGGAGGAGGCCCACATCCATAAAGTCAGCCAAACTCTGAGGCAAGACCAACTCCTTTGGTTCATCCATTCTGGGACACAGTTCTCAGAGAGCACCATGGCTTTTCCCAAATTTAAAGATCAGGTGGGAGTGGATTCAGAGCCAGCACATAACAGAGGCTGTTCCGCAAGGCTGGCTGAGCACCAGTGCCTGAGGCTGGAGGATGAGGCTTGAGGGGGAGAGCTGGGCCTCAGAGACCAGCTCTGAACCATGGAAGGAAGTTGTGGGAGGGGCTGTTCCCAGGATGCTGTGCCTAGGGCATTCATTCAGATAAAGCCTAAGGCCCCTTTATGGTGTCACTCACTGCAGAAGAAGCCTTTGCTCAGGACTGGAAGGTAGAGCTCAAGGAGCTCTGAATACAGAGAGACAAGATGACCTAGGTGGGCACCCAGGATGTGGGAGAGGCTGGAACTCAGGAAGGGAGGGTCTCAGGGATCTCTGTGCAATAGGCTGGACCAGCCATGGGGCGATCCCAGAGTCTGCTTTACAAGCCACAAGTTTATTCATCTTGGTCTTAGTGATTCTCCTTTAGAATTTAGGATCTCGTGTAGTTTAAACTCTCAGCCAATTTCACAGTACAGAAAAGGATGTGTCTTTGCTTAAAAGCCCAAGCATTGGGGCACCTGCGTGGCTCTGTTGGTTAAGCGTCCGACTCTTGATTTCAGCTCAGGTCATGATCTCAGGGTCGTGAGATGTAGCCCCACATCGGGCTCCATTTTCTCTCTCTCCCTCTCCCTTTGCCCTTCACCTGCTCTCTAAAATAATAAATAAATCTTTAAAAAATAATAAAGCCCACGCATTAAGCTGCCCTGGGGCCATGAGAGGGCAGAGACTACAATGGGAACTGCAATGGTTGGCCACCTATGAGGGGCGAAGTGAATCTCTGGAGTAATGGTTTGGGCTTTTTCTGGGAAGGCAGAAACTCAGCTTATTCCCCTTGGTTCTCTCTCCCCAGCAAATTGCCCAAGAGGTCTCTGAGCAGCATTTGTCCCAGGGGAGACTATACCCACCACTCAGCACCATCCGAGATGTGTCTCTGAGAATCGCCATCAAAGTAAGGAGCATCCTACCCCCAGTAATATGGTTAGTGAGGCTCAACGACTTCCTCTCTCTGTGAGTTTAGGAGAGCTAAGGGGATGGCAGCTGTGGAGACATCCTGAGCTCCCATCCAGAGGCTGGATGAGAAACTCCTGCCTGCAGCTCAAGCCCCACCCCCAACACCCCCCTCAGGCCAGTTCTGGGAAAGCTCCTGGATTTCCCCTCAAACACCAGGCAAAAAGGTCAACAAAGTCCATAGTCTTGTGGACCAGAATGTGGGTGGAATTTTTTAAAACTGAATCATAAATGCCCATTTATACAGAAAGGTCAATTTTCATAGCATCATGAAGAGCTCTGGCTATCAGGTCCCAGCTCTGCCAATTGCTTCACTTTCCTGAGCCTCAGTTTCCTCCTTTTCCAAAGGGGATGGTAATTCCTCTCTCCCAGAGTTCTGAAGGTTAAAGAGGACAGTGAGAAAGGTCTACACTCAGTGTAGCGAAAATGCTCATTCCTCCCCTTTTTCTCAGAAAGGCTGGGCCACAGGATGATCATGTTCATGGAATATTCCAAGGAAAAATGTCTTCCTAGAGACTTTGCAGAGATGATGGGTTTTCAGAGAATCAGAACACAGTGCAATAAAGACTGGCCCAACATTGATAACTGTTGAATATAGATAATGGTTGCACTAGGGTTTATTATACTATCATTTTTATTAGCATATATATTTTACATTTTCTATAAGTTTTAAAAATAATTTCAGAAGATGCATTGCACAACAGCATGTGCTCCCCATGAGTTGCCCATTGTAGTCTCCAGAATCAGCCCTCAAGACTAATAGTCCAGCTCATAGTCCCAACTCCACCCTATCCATTTCCTTCCTTTTTGGGATATTGAGATTAATGCTCTTGTGAAACCATTATCTAATACCCAGAGAACAATGTCCAGGCTCTTCTCCCAATTCCACCCACATTTAGTGGGGGAAAAATACCAGCTACTGGACACCTGATTTTGCCTGTTACCTAATTTTATCCTCACACTACTCCAGAGAAAGGTCTCATTATTCCCACTTTACAGATGAGGAAACTGAGGCTCAGCAAGGATAATGTCACCTCTGAGGACCCACAGGCATTTGAAAGCAGAGGCAGAGGCCTCTCGATCCCAGCCTAGTATTTATTCCACTGCGTCGCAGCTTCCTACCCAGGCGAAAGCTCAAAATCCCTCCTATCGAGTGGCTTCAGGGACAACAGTTCATGGTTCCGCAGGGGCTATTACCCTTCCACAGGCTCCCAAGCAACCTTTAGGCAACTTTTAGGCAGGTTCCTCCTTAGTTCCAGTTCCTCAGCCAATATGTTTTTCCCTAGGTCCTTGACTTCGCGTACAAACACAACCTGGCCTCCTACTACCCGGAGCCCAAGGACAAGGAGGCTTTTGTAAGATCCCTGGTCTACACTCCAGACTATGATTCCTTTACACTGGACAGCTATACTTGGCCCAAGGAAGCCATGAATGTTCAAACAGTGTGATGCAGTCTCAGAGGCTGCTGTGAGGCTGGAACAAGCCCAGAGTAACACTGACAATATAAATGGGTTCTAAAATGGCCATCTTTGTCCCTGTGTTTTTCCTTTGAACTTTCTGGTGTGATGGGAGATACCCAGGCACACAATGAATGAGAGCCTTGTCCCTGAGGCCCTGAGAATTCACTTTTCTATAACCCTGACTTCCTCCCCAAGAATTTCTTCATCTAACTGCCAACAATTAGCTAGATCTTGTGGGAAATCTAGAATCCTTCCTAGAACTCTGTCTTTACAGAGCTCAGAGTCTAGTGAAGGAGATATGGACACAATTCATTTTTCCACAAGGGAGAAAGTGGTTAAGTCCATGAAAGAAGTACAGATAAAGGTCAAGGGTACTCAGAGAAGGGAGCAGATACTTCGTATGAGAAGTAAGAGAAGGCTTCAGGGGGAGAAATGTGTACAGAGTCCCGAGAGTAAAGGATGGGTAGGAGGCATGGGAAAATGAGGAAGGTAGGGGCAGCCACTGACCAGAGAGCATGGCCCACCGATGAGGGAGTTCAATCCCTGCTGGAAGAATACACACCCTTCAAGACTCAGATGGGTATGAGGGCTGAGTGACTGAAGGCAACTCACTAGTCAAAAACTATCCCTGACATGTGGGCTATTGAATATTAGGATTCCTTTTGGTTATTACTAAAAGGAAAACTAGAGAAATGTGGGTATGGAGGGTCAGCAGGCCAAGGAGTGAGGAGGAAGAGAGGCAGTGAGGGGAAGAGAATCATGGAGTCCTAGGGAAGACTTGATGTCATTTTCCTGACTCTGGAACTCTCTCTCTCTCCCACACTTCACTCTGAAGGAATTCAGCAAACCAGGGCACTATTCTTAGAGAATGCCTTCAGTCTGTCCTGGGAATTTCTTAGACAAGTTCAAGCACAGCTTTCACCTCCTTCATGTCTAGCAGAGCCCACACCATGGGATGGGGAGGTGGGGACAAGCCTACAGCCCCTGTAATCAAAGACCCTGATAAATTTCTAGAACCTATTGGGATGACAGCTTCCAACCTCTAATTTTATTGGATAACATAGAAAACAGTAAATCACACTAAGGGACCTAACACCACCCACCCTTGTTGCCAGCTCAGCCTCAAGAGCCCCACTGCCCTATGTGGCCACCTCACAGTCTCAGGACTGTTGGACTCCTAGAACAGTAATTAGCAGAGACACCAGTCACCCCTTGCCCAGGTCTTGTTCTTCCAACATCTGCTTCCTTGGTGCTGGTGCTCAGCCAAACATACCCTGAGAAAACAGCCCTGTTCTATAATCCCTGAGCTCATGGGGAAAGAGAAAGTCTTCAGAAGAGGATTTGAAGTGAAGCTGGAATCTCAACAGCAGGGAACCATTACACTATCTTTTCTAAGTCCTGGCCCACAACTTCTGTACCCCAATTGCACATCCTTTATACTCAGTGTAATAGAAAAGAAAAATAGTAGAGAAAAGCAATGAAACAAAACAGGTTCTTTGAAAAGATCAACTAAATAAATAAACTGTAGCTATACTGACCAAGACATAACGAAGATACAAATTATGTTTCCTTTGTTTCAACCACACTAAACAAGGCACTTTCAGGCCTGTACCTTTATAAATGCTTGGTCTCCATCTGTCAAGTCCTTCCTTCCCATTCCTTGCCCTTTATCAATTAAATAGCAGCTCACCCCAGCTTTCTGCTAGAGACATCATTCATCCTCGGAGTTCCAATGCAATTGGCTCCTGAAGTCATCCTGGACAGAGTTAATAATTTGATTAGAAATCAACAGAAAGGGAGCGCCTGGGTGGCACAGTTGTTAAGCATCCTGCTCTGCGGGAAGCCTGCTTCTCCCTCTCCCACTTCCCCTGCTTGTGTTACCTCTCTCACTGTGTCTCTCTCTGTCAAATAAATAATCTTTATTAAAAAAAAAAAGAAATCAACAGAAAAAAATGGGAAATTTCTAACCATTTGGAAATTAAATAATACATTTCTAAATAACCCATGGTTCAAAGAAGAAATTGCAGCATAAATTATATATATGTTGAATTGAATGAAAAATATCAAAATTAGTGAGTTTTAGCTAGAGCAGTGCTTAGAGGAAAATTTTGTAGTTCTAAATAAATGCCTATATCAGGAAAAAAAGAAAAATCTCAAAGCAATAACATAAACTCCCTCTAGAAACAAAATCCAAAGCAAGTTAAGATTAGAGCACAAATCAATAAACCTATAAGAAGTAAAAAATTTGAATTAGTAATTAAAAATCTTCCCACCATGGGGCACCTGGGTGGCTCAGTCGTTAAGCATCTGCCTTCAGCTCAAGTCATGATCCCACGCTCCTGGGATGGAGCCCCACATTGGACTCCCTGCTCAGCAGGAAGCCTGCTTCTCCCTCTTCCACTCCCCCTGCTTGTGTTCCCTCTCTTGCTGTGTCTCTCTCTGTCAAATAAATAAAGAAATCTTAAAAAAAAAAAAAAATCTTCCCACCAAGAAAAGTGCAGGCCCAGATGCCTTCTTTGGTGAAGTTTATCAAATATTTAAAATAGAAATAATACCCATCCTTCATAACCTCTTTCAGAAAATAGAGGAGGGAACACTTCCCAAATCATTCTATGATACTGGTATCACCCTGATATAAAAACCAAATAAAGCAACACAAGAAAACTACAGACCAATATCCTTCACAAATATAGATGCAAAATCTTAAAATATTAGCAAACCAAATCCATCAATATAAAAGAATTACACATAATGAACAAGGGGGATTTATTCCAGGAATGCAAAGTTGTTTTAACATTTAAAGACGGATCCTCATAGTGCATGATATTAATAAATTGAAGAAGAGAAACCATAAGATCAAGTCAATGGATGTGATAAAACTATTTGAAAAAAATCCAACATCCATTTATGATAAAACTTTCAACAAACCAATAATAGAAGAGAACATCCTCAACCTGATGAAGAACCAACAGCTTACATCATACTTAATGGTGAAAGAATTAATACTTTCTCCCTAAGATCTGGAACAAGCCAAGGATGTTGTCATCACTTCTGGTCAACATGGAGGATCTAGCCAGTTCAATAAAAAAAGAAAGAGAAGGGGCACCTGGGTGGCTCAGTCGTTGAGTGTCTGCCCAGGGTCCTGGGATCGAGCCCCGCATCGGGCTCCCTGCTCAGCGGGAAGCCTGCCTCTCCCTCTCCCACTCCCCCTGCTTGTGTTCCCTCTCTCACTGTGTCTCTGTCAAATAAATAAAATCTTTAAAAAAAAAAAAAGAAAAGAAAAAGAAAAGGCATCCAAGTTGGAAATGAAGAGTAAAACTGCCTATATTCACAGATGACATAATCCTATATGTAGAAAATGCCAAAGAATAGAACCCTTATCTCACTCGCTCTCTCCCTCTCTCCCCTAATCAGTTTACCAAGGTCATAGGATACAAGGTCAATAAACAAAAATCACCTGTATTTTTATATACTAGCAATATTAACAATCTAGAAATAAAATACTTCCATTCATAACAGCATCAAAAAGAAAAAATACTTAGAAAATTAAGAAGTGCAAGTCTTGTACACTGAAAATTACAAAAATTACACAAATTACTGTTGACAAAGAAGATCTGAAAAAAAACTAAATAAATGGAGAGATGTTCCATATTCGTGGATTTGAAAACTCAATATTGTTAAAGCTACAATTTTCTCCACAAATTATTTATAAATTCAATACTATATCAAAATCCCTGCAGGCTTTTTTTTTTTTTTTTGTAGAAATTGACAGGCCGATCCTAAAATTTATATGGAAGTGGAAAGGATCTAAAATAGCCAAATCTTTTGAAAAGAAAAAGTACACTATCCAATTTCAAAACTTACTATAAAACTACGATAATCAAGACTGTGTGGTTATGTAGATCAATGGAAATGTATCAGGGGAAAAGAACTGAGAATTCACAACTAAGTCCTTACTTTTATGGTAAACTGACTTTCAAAAAGCTACCAAAATACTTCAGTGATACTGTGACACCTGAATATCCACATTCAAAAAATAAAAAAATTACAAAAAGAGATTTACTTCACACCATACACAGAAATTAATTTAAAATAGATCACAGACCCAAATGTAAGCTAAAGCTATAAAACTTCTAGAAGAAAATATAGCAGAAAACTCTGATTGAGGAGAGTTCTTAGATAAAATTCAAAAGCATGATTTATAAAAGAAAAATTGATAAATTGTAATTCAATTTTTTTTAGTTTTGCTCTTGAAACATACCATTAAGATAGAAAACAACAAGCAACAGACTGAGAGAAAATACTTGCAAATTAGATATCTGATAAAGACATTGGGTCCAGAATATATGAAGAACTTTTATAATTCAATAAGAAAATGACAAAACCACCCAATTAAAAAGGTGGACAAAATGTTTGAATTGACATATTACTACAAAAGATATGTGAATGGCTAACAAGCACATGAAAAGATGCTTAATATCACTGGTCATTTGAAAATTAAAACCACAATGGGATATCACTTCACACTTAACAGAATGGCTATAATAAAAAATACAGTGTTGGAGAAGATTGGAACCCCTCTTCTAAGTGCATAGGTCTCCTAAGCACTATGAAATTAAGGGAGATTTCCCTGTCTTTTAAATCTTCATTCTAACTCCCCAGGCTCTCATACATAGCCCCAGAATTCAGCAAGTGTCATTTAGTATAGTGGATGCTGTGGTTGCACCACCCAGATCCCTCTGCAGGTCTGAAACACTCTGCCAGAAGTATTATCAGCTGAAGGTTCACAGCTGCATCCCTCTCTGGGAATTGCACTTGGCTGAAGGAAGGTACTTCATCCAAGGGTATGCCCTTATCCCCAGGGACAGCCTGCATCCAATGACTGGTTGATTCAAGTCCAAACATTCAACCCCTTCACCTCAAGTGGGGACATCCATAAGTGGTCATCCCAGCTTCAGAGCTCCTTGCAAGATTGGCTGAGGCCAGTTTTACAACTGTATGTATCACCATTCAACAACTTCCGCCATTTCCTGGTTCTGTTGCTCCCCCACAGGTGTTGAAACAACTCCCCAGTAAATCTCCAAATGCAAATCTCAGATTTAGTATAGGTTTCCTGAGGAACTCAACTTGCAACATGTGGACGAAAATGGCCAAACTTCTCAATTTTCCAATCTGCTGTACCAGTCCCACATGACCACCAAAAGCCTGTCTGGGTTTCTCTTTCCCTCAGTAGAGACCTTCTACCTGGACCAAGTCTGATTCTTTGTCCACGTCCAGAATCAGTGAATGCCCCCAATGGGGCGGGGTGGGGGGGAGGTGGGGAATGGCCACTCACCTCAGGAGAGCTCCTCCCTCTCTGGAACTCCTTTTCACCTAGTTCTTGTTGCTTTCACAGCTCTCACATGTCCTCAAACATACTACTTTATAAATTTTTCTTTATTTTTCTGGTTGTTATAAGTAGGTGGTGGAATGCCACAACCTACTATACCCTATCTGGAAGTCTATAGACACAGATTTTCAAAATTCCAAATGTATGGATATTATTAACTTTCTTCCTAACTTAGCTGAATTGTAGTCAAAGAAGTTATTTGTATTACTTAAATATTTTTAAATTTGCTGAAATTTTTATGGTCAAATGTAATAAAATATTTCATGCACTCCTAAAAATAATATGGATTCTCACTGTCAGTTGCAATGCCCCTTATATGTTCATGGAATCAAGCTTTTTAATTGTTTTGTTCAAATCTATATCTTTACTGATTTTTGTCTACTTGATCTGTTTCTGAAAGAAGGATAGTAAAATTTCCCACCACTATTGTAAATTTGTTAATGTTCCTTATAGTTCTCTCCATATTTGCTTTATAGATTTTGGACCAATGTTGTCTGATGCATAAAGTTTACAATTGTTGTAACTTCCTGGTGAATTGAAACTTTTGAAATTTTCTTTATCTCTAGTAATGCCTTTGCTTCCACTTTTACCAATATTAACGCATTTCTACCATCCTGCCTCTTTCTCCCTCCTGCAATTCATTATTTATTTAGATGGGTAAGCTCTTGTACTAGCTGGTGAATGGTGAACACTGAAATTATTTCTCCTGAAGAACTATATTCCCAGACAGTATGAATATATGGTTAAACTAGCATTAATACAGGTCACCATTTTATCAATTACATAATAAAACAAAGTATCAGGTATCCAAATACAAAGTTGCACAGTTCAAAAAGCATATAAAATATTAGATGCCTACTCACTTCATTAGTAGAAACCCACTTCTCTTGATTGGGAAGACAAGAAAAAATATGCTTCAAAGAAAAATAGTTAATAAACAACTTCCAATAGACATGTGAAGAATTTCGATTTCAGAAATTTTATAAATAAGAAAAGTTTGGGCTATAAAGCATCTCTGCCTTAAAAAGAATTTTTTTTTGCTAAATTAAAGATCTATTCTATACATCCTGCACAAGACAAAGGAAACATTTTACTAGAGATATTTCATAGCCTCCTCCCACTCTGTCTTCAGGCCCTCCCCCTCTAAGTTGCACCCCAAGTGTAAACATTAAGGTAACTATAAGACTTTTTTGTCTGAAGACATCACACATGTGCTTCTGTACGCTGTGTATTTTACATGAACTTTTAACCACAGATTTGTGATTTTTCAAAATGGAGGTTTTTATAACAGCACAAAATGAGCTTAATAGAAATACATTAAATAATTCCCTAAGTCTTGGTAAGAATCCAATAAAAATCAATTTTTGCTAAAACCTGATGTATACTGGTGCTCATGTGGGATGGTAAACATGAAGGAACAAATAACCACATAGGCCATACTTGCAATGTCTGAAAGGACTAAAGGAATAAACCACATATGGTTTACAGTGCTGTCCATAATTTCTAGGATTTTAATTATATATGATACTAAAAATATACAAGTATTGTGCTGGATATTTTGGCACCTAATCTCTCAATTTCTTACATATTTTTTCTGGCATGGGAATAGTATGAAGCCAAACATAGAGGCTGCAATTCTGTCAAGCTTGTGGCTTTTTCATGATTCCTATGGAAGCTTCATTAGACTTGTCATTCATTAAGCCTACATGCTGGCTAATATGTATGATAATTAAGTTCTGTCTCAAGTTCCATTTCCAAGGCAACAACATCAGGGAGCCAAGTCTTATTGAATGCAACAGTTGTTTCTATGACCACTGGAGTCTTTGTAGCGCAGCCGCATTTTAGAACGATATTTCTCCAAATACAAAAGTTGCTTGCTGTTAAAAGCTCCATGCCGCTTTTGTCTTATAAACTGTACTGCATCTTCATTTTTCATTCCACCTTCAATTAGTGCTAGGGCAACAAGCACTGGAGTTCTCCCAAGACCTGCAACACAATGAACAGCAATACAACAACCAGGTTCTTCACAAAATTTAATGTTTACAAGAGTTAACCAGTCATCCACAATCTGGTTAGATGGTGATGACCCATCATCAAAAGGCCAATCCAGAACCTGGATGCCTTCTTTCTCCACAAGAGCAGTGTCGTAGGTGGCTTCACATACTCTTACTATTGTAGTAACTCCGTATTTCTTAAGTTCTTCTATAAATTTGTTTAAGGTTGCACTGGTTGGACTGTGTGTAATAAGAAATCTCATGTTCCTGTATGTGACTTCCACAGGGGCTGGCCGGTTTACTGGAGCCATGTTAATTTAGTTGAAACAATACGGTTATGAAAAAATGTTTTGAATATTTGAATACAGAAATGATGTTAAGAAACTGAAGTATACTCCAATGTACTCCACTGGAAATTCTCAGTGCTTTGAAAATGTAATTGAGAATAACAGGAAATGAAATGAACCTCCTAACAAGAAGCAATCCTTCAGTTCAGTAATACTGAGTCAATGGAAAGGAAGTGCACCGAGGTTTACCCCATCCAGGTCAGAATTCTTGTAAAATGCTCCAATGATTTCAACTCTACACTTGTGTGTCCAGGACAACCGATTTTATGGGGGCTTCCCAGTAGAGTAGTAATGAACCTCCACAGTTCACTTGTCCTCATAAAGGTCGTGCTGTGCCTGGCAGTAATTTCTGGGGCCCTTCAGAAACTCCATAAATGCGTGGCCAAGAACACCACAGAAAGGAGCTTGTTTACTCATTAAAGACTGTGGCCTAATCATACAACCAGTCCCACGGCAGTGACACAGACGGCAGCGGAGGCCTCGGCTGCGGGGCAGGGAGCTGCAGTGGTGGCCCTGGGGCGGCAGTGACCGGACACCAGGCTCTACTGTGCTCCAGCCTCAAAGAAGCCAATCCGCGCGCTGAGGCGTTCTTGCGTCACAAGCCCTCCCTTTCACAGCTGGCATGACGTAGGCTCCTCTCCACCAATCACGACGGGGCGCACCGAGAAGCTATGAGCGAGAGACCCAGCAATGGCACGCAGACGTCACTACTGGCTGGTTGAGGAAGGAAAGAGTGGTGGAGACTGAGACACCGAAGTGGACTACGACGGGCGGGGAAGGTATTGGAAGAAGAATCCCAACCATTCCCATCCATTGGCTCTGACTGATCAATCTTTTTCCAGCAGTTTCATGTTGTAGCTGTCTCTTGGGAACAACACATTCCTAGACTTTTTCTTTAATCCAGTCTGATAATATTGGTCTTTTAACTGAAGATCTTAGTTAATTCACATTATTTTATTATTTTATATTATGTTAATTATTGCTATATTTGCTCTCATTTTGTGCTATTTATTTCTTTATATCTTTTTTATCCTTTCTTGATTTCTTTTGGATTATGGTTTTTCTCTAAATCTATATTCTAAATCCTCTACAGTGCTGGAATGCTATGACTGTGATTTAAAGTTCTTAGCAATTATGACAGATTAGACACTGTTCTAAATCTAACTGACTTTACATAAATTCACTTGGTACAACCATATGAATTAGATACTAGTATTATTTCTATAGCTCTAATTTTAAAAAAATAAATAAACCTAGGCACAGAAAAGTTATTTGCCCAAAGTTACACAACTAGTAAATGTCAGAGCTAAGATTTAAATCTTGAAATTCTGGCTCTGGAGTCTACCTCTCTTACATATATATGTCCTATCATATACCCTTTTATTCTTTCACTACTTAAATAGCTTAGAAATAGTCAAACATTCAAAATACTTTCCCATGTCTTAAAGTAACTTAACATGCTTTATAAATTAACATGGTCAGCATTGTTTTAACACCACATATTACACTGTTTATAAAAACCACTCTTTGTTTAAATGTACCCAATATGTGATCAGTTTCTTTGCTCACTATTCCTTCTTGCATCTCCACCCTTTCTTCTGAGATTTTTTAACCAAGAGCATCTTCTGGAGGTTCCCTTAGTTCCTAGTATATGATCAACTTTGATCAATATTTTATATAATCTTAAAAATATGCATTCTCTCACTACTGAAAAATGCATTTTATTGTTGGTAACTTGTTTTTTCTTTGGTTCTTTAATGAGCTTTATTTCTAAAATTCTCTTATTTGGGTTTCATTCTTAATAGTTTTGCTGGTTATATAATTTTATATTGACATTTATTTTCTTAGCCCTTTGAAGACATTCCTTGTCTTCAGGTTTCCTCTCTACTAGCTATAGAATTTTCTAAAATGTCTAGTCTTTGAGCATTACCATGATACCAAAACCAGATAGTACAAAAAAGAAAACTATAGGCCAATATCCCTAACAAACATAGATGTAAAAATCTTCAACAAAGTATTAGCAAACCATATTCAACAATGCATTAAAGGCTCATTCACTATGATCAAGTAGAATTTATTTGGGGGATGTAAGGATGGTTCAATACTTGCAAATCAATCGACCACATGAACAAGATAAAGAATAAAAATCATATAATCATCTCAACACATGCAGAAAAAGTATCAAAATTCAACCTTGTTCATATAAAAACTCAAAACAAAGTGGATTTAGAGGGAACATACTCAATATAATAAAGGCCATATACGACAAACCCACCACTAATATCACCCTCAATGCTTAAAAACTTTTCCTTTAAGATTAGGAATAAGACAAGAATGTCCACTCTTGGGCACCTGGGTGGCTCAGTCGGTTAAGCAACTGCCTTCGGCTCAGGTCATGATCCTGGAGTCCCGGGATCGAGTCCCACATCGGGCTCCCTGCTCGGCAGGGAGTCTGCTTCTCCCTCTGACCCTCCTCCCTCTCATGCTCTCTGTCTCTCATTCTCTCTGTCTCAAATAAATAAAAATAAAAATCTTTAATAAAAAAAAAAAAGAATGTCCACTCTTACCATTCAAAAAGATATATGCTCCTGTATGCTTACTGCAGCATTATTTACAATAGCCAAGATATGGAAGCAATCTAAGTGTCCAGTGACAGATGAATGGATAAGGAAGAAGTGGTATATATGCAATGGGGTATTACTCAGCCATAAAAAGAATGAGATCTTGTCATTTGTGATAACATGGATGGACCTAGAGGGTATCATGCTAAGTGACTTAAGTCGGAGAATGACAAACATCATGTGATCTCACCTATGTGTGGAATCTAAAAAACAAAACTAATGAACAAACAAAAAAGACTCTTAAATACAAAGAACTGGTGGTTGCCAGAGGAGATGTGGGTTGGGGAATGGGTGAAATAGATAAACTTCCAGTTATGGAATAAATAAGTCATGAAGATGAGATGTACAGTATAGGAAATATAGTATGGTGACCACACTTACCACTTTGAGCACTAAGTAATGTATAAAAATGTTGAATCAATATGTTGCACATCTGAAACTAATATAACAATGTATGTAACAATATAACAATGTATGTTAATTATATATATATATATATATTTTTTTTTTTTTTTTTTTAAAGGCAGAAACAGACCCATAAATACAGAGAACAAACTGGTGGTTGCCAGAGGGAAAGGGACTGGTGGGATGGGCAAAATGGGTGAAGGAGAGTGAGAGGTACAGGCTTCCACTCATTCCAGTTATGGAATGAGTAAGTCACAGGGATGAAAGTTTCAGCATAGGGAATATAGTCAAGTATAGCATATAGCATTGTGTACTGACAAACGGTAGCTACGTTTGTGGTGAGCTATATAACATACAGAGTTGTCAAATCACTGTGTTGTAAACCTGAAACCAGTGTAACTGTGTGTCAACTAAACTTCAAGAAAAATAAAATAAAATGTCTAGGCTTTGTTTCCTGGCCTATGCATGGCCCAATACAATAAAGCTCTAGTTCTTCCTTCTTTCCTCTTCCTTCCCTCTTCACTCTTTTCTCCCTTTTTCCTTCCTTCATTTCTTCTGTAATAACTCAGTGCACTAGATGAAGTGGAGCAAGGTAGTTGTCTGCAGGAGGCAGGGATCCAGAGGATACTGGAGTCTAGGGGTGAGTGAGAAGGGCTTTTAAGCAAGGGGGGGTGGTAGTAGCAGCCTGGTACAGACTATCAGAGCCCAAGCAGAGTGGAGAGGACATATACGTAAGTGTTCCATAAGTATTTATCACAATAAAACATCAAGGATAATGGGAATCCGTATTCTGTCAGATAGGAGTTACAAATATAGAAAGGGTGGAAAGTAGAATTAACTCTAGGATTTTGGATTGGAATTGGTTGTATCTGTGTGAACTCTTCATTTTCAATATACAGAAGATAGTTATGGAACTATAGATGTGTGTACAAGAGGACAAAAGTAGCCTGGAACATCTTATTATGACAGAAAGTAAGGAAATGTTCAAAGAATGACAGGAATATGACAAAAGGACAGAGAACACAAACGAAGGGAGACTAAAGAGAACTGCCACCTAAAAGTAATGTGGTGTCTCAGATGGGATCTTGAAACAGAAAAAGGACAGTAGGGAAAAACTAGTGCAAATTGAATAAAAAGTGTGAAGTTTAGTTAATGGTAAAATACCAATGTTGGTTCCTCAGTTATGACAAAAGTATCATAGAAATAAAAGATGTTAGCAATGGAGAAACTGGGTGAGGAGCATACAAGGAAGTCTCTAAAACCATTCTAAGATTTTTAAAAATTATTTAAAATAAAACAAAAGCAGAGAAGCCAGTTTGAAGAGCCCCACTGGTTATGATTTTTATATTAACTCATTGAATAAAAGAGAAATCCTTAAATCTATACTGGTACAAATAAATAAATATGGAGAAGCCAACACTTTGCCTTATAGTAGAATGCCAACTAATAAATGTAACAGGAATGGTGGAATTAGCAAAATCTGTATTTAGCAATTGTCATCACAATTATTCAGCAAAGAAACATCAACAGATGCTAAAACTAGTGGGTGAAAGTTGATGAGGAATGAGATATTTATTTGCATTCAAAGTACCTACTACAAAAAAAAAAAATCATTAAAAAAGATAGTGCTAAACCTTGCAGGCATCACTTAATCAAATGATCAAAATTAACATGACCAGTAATGGGACAAATTGAATTGTAAACCACCTGTTAAGATGATCACAAGGAACACAGCATCCCATCTGTGATATTCCTGGAAAAAAAAAAATCATTGCTGGAATTTTATGATGAGGAAAAATCAGACAAATCCAAATGGAAGGACTGAAATCTTTAAAGGTGCCAGCCATGAAAGTCAAGTGAAGGCTGAAGACTGTTCTAGGTTGAAGGAGATTAAAGAGATAATGGCAACTAAATCTAACACATGAATGTAGATTTGGATCCTTT